GGTCCAGAACATGGGGGAACAGGGGCATCGTGGGGGTCCGAGTGGGAGGAGGGCTGGGGAGCCTCGCAGGTCCACGTAGCAGTTTGTGGGGTGGGGGGGCTCAGTCGCTGCAGGAGGTCCTGCTTGGTGGGAGGGGGGGCCGTGTCCCAGGGCCCTGGGGTCCTCACCCAACACCTTCCCTCCTTGCCCCGGCTCCTACCCTAACCCTGCCTGCCCGCTGGCCTGACCCAGTGGCCGAGGCTCAGTCATAGTCAAGTAAGTGGGGGAGGGTCCTGGAGCCCCACAATACGTCCCTGACGGGCCTGGCGCAGTCTGAATATCCCAACCTGGGGCAAGCGGTGCCTTCTCTGAGGGGCACTTTTAAAGGGACCTCCCGGGAAGCCAGTGAGAACAAAGGCAGAGGTTTGACAGAGGTGGACTGCCGGGTGAGGGGCGGGAGTGGAGAACATGGGACCAGCACCCCTCCCTATGAGGTGGCCCCTGCCCCCCAGGCTGGAGGGGTGCTTTCCCCTCCCTGTGGGGACTCTCCTGAACCCACTATTTGCTCTCATGTTTCAGGGAGTCCCCAGGAGCCCTTGTCTGCAGGGCTGGGCTGGCTGAGCCCTCCCCTGGGCCCCCTCTCCACCCCGCCCCCTTGAGGGAGGGACACTACCTGTCTCGATGTCATCTATGGACCCCAGTCCATTGGAAGTTCCCTGTGGGAGGAAGGACACAGTGGGTCAGGCAGACCCGGGCTGGGAGGCCCCGGCGCCCAGCACTCGGGGTGTCACCTGGGCCCGAGGGTCCACCGCTGCTATTAACCAGGGGACGGGACCGGACGGTCAGGAAGGCACCGAAGTGCCACTCCCCGAATCACCAGTGTCCGCCCCAGGCCCCGCCCCCGGCTGAGTGGGCGGGTGGGACCTGCCGAGGCCTCATCCTCTCTGGCCCGTTTCCTTCTGTGTCAAGTGGGTAACAGTCACCCCTCCTGGGGCTTCGTAAGGAGACATCACTGGACACTTGCACCGAGCTTGGAACATGCCCGACCCACAGGGAGGGCTTCACGGGTTTGATAAATATGTAACGTAAAATGTTAAGCCCAAGCGCTCAGAGCTGGTCTGGTGAGCGGGGTTCTCACCGCAGCCTCCACATTCGGTCCCGTGGACGTGCATGGCTCCTCCCCCCCCTCCCCCCATCCGCCCCTGCCCCCTGGGTCCTGCAGTCGGATCTGCCAGCGCCCTGATCCTGCACATCCCAGTCTCCAGCACTGAAGGTAACTCTTGTTTATAAACCACCCAGGCTACCCTTCGCTATAGCAGCCCGAACAGACTAATACGTTCATTCGTTTTAGTTTTGAACACCCAGTATGTGCGAGGCTGATAATTTCTGGTTACACACCATGAGGAGTGACGGTTGCAAACCAGGTGAGATCACGCTTGCCTCCCTGCCGCCGGCGAGGCCCCCAAGGGCAAGGCCATGCCTCCCGCGGCCCTGGCACAGCGGCGCCCTGGGCTTGAAGGGGTTCCCTGGGATGTGTTGAGTGGGTGGATGAAGGTGCTATAGCGCCCGGAGGGAGGCCTGCTGCTGCCTTGCTGGGTGACACTGGTCAAATCCCCCGCCCACTCTGTGCCTCAGTCTCCCTTATGGATAATGAGGCAGGACGCAGGCTCCATCGTACTCTTACAGCCCGTCCCTCATCTTGCAGAAAGCCTCACAGCCCACCAAGCAGTCCGTGTGTGGTGAGCAGTGGGGGGAGTCAGGCGTGTGCTGAGCCCTGCCACGCCCACATGAGGAGGCCTGCGTGGCTGGCCCCAACCGCCTTTCCTTCCACTGCCTTATGCCCTCCCTCCTGCACCCATGGTTTCCTTTCTCAAGGGGCCATGGGCTACCCCTGATGGTCCCCTGCAGTGACCACTCCCACCAGCAGCAGCACCGCCTGTCCCCACGCCGTGCACCCCAGAGCTGTCCTCACAGGCCTGGCCCAGGCCCAGGCTGCAGTCACCCCTCTTCCCAGAGCAGGTGCCCGGCTCAGCAGGGGGAAGAGGACAGACTGAGCCCAGCCCTTCAGTCTGATGCCCCGGCACCTGCTGCCTGAGGTCAGACACCCCAGAGAGTGGGTTCAAAGCTCTGGTGATGGATGAACTACGATAGGCTGCTCCTGGAGGTGGGGAGGGAGGCGAGGGGCCCCGGCCACCCTACCTGATCTGCCGCGCCAGCCGCAGTGCCGTTACTGAGCAGAGAAAAGGTTTCCAATTCCTGCCAGAGATTGGAGAGGGGGAAGAGATGAAGATCCGGGAAAGGTGCTCGGGGTCCCATCACCCGGCGGTCGGGGTCTGCGGTCCCTCCAAAGCTCCCTGCCCCGGGTCTGCTGGGAGTCACCTGCACGCTCTCTGGGTCATATTTGGGTTTCTCCTTCCTGCAACCATGACCTGGAGAGAGGACTTCCAAGCACACACTCCTACTGTGTGCCCGTCACGGCCCCAGCTGCCATCTCATCCTCTCGTTTTGATCCTCCCATGAACCTCTGGGGTGGGCACCATGATCCCACGTTCCAGGTGGAGAGAGAAGTAACTTGCTCAAGGTCGCAGCAAGACTCGCGAGCAGGACCCTTCCTACGTGCAGCTTCCCGGTGCACAGAGGTGCCAAGTGAACCACACAGACACCAACATTTCACATATGCGCCCTCGGGGGTTATCTGAGGACGCAAGGCTGAAGGACGCACTGTCAGCTAAGGCCCCGGTGCTGAAGCCCAGGGCAGGGGAGGGAGCGGCACCAGCAGCTGGTGTCAGGTGAGCTGGAAGCTTTGGCTGCTCTTTCCTGTCCCTAAAGATCCTGAAAGTCCTTCCAGGGCTTTCAGCCAGAGAGGGGGACGATCACCTGCTGTCACTCCCTCTGTCCGGGCCTGGCTCTGGCCACCCTCACCTACTTCCCCCAACGGCGCCCGGTCCCCCTCTTCCGGTCTCCCCACCACCACCCCCACCGGTCCCCCAGCACCCCGAGCCCACCTACCTGGGGCCGCTTATACGCCTTCCGAACTCGCAGCCCCAGCTTCTGAGCCAGCTCCTGACCGAGCTGGGTGACGCTCTCATCCTGGGGAGACAGACACGGGTGGAGCAGGTTCGTCCGCCTGGCTCGCCCCGCTGGGCTGCGACACCTGGTGCGGCCTGCAAGGGGGCCGCTGGCAGCCCACGCTGTGGACAAGGAGCCAGCCCCGGGAGGGGACGCCGGCTGCCAGGCACACGGCTAGAGCGTGGAGGGCTGGGACCAGGCACCCTTGCTTCTGTTTTTTTCTTGTAGGGAGAGCAACGGGATAATTTCTGTTTCTATTAATATTGTCCAGTTGCCGGACACAGTAAGCGTTCAGAAAACATTCACTGTTATTCTACTTTCTGTCTATTATTCTTGCTCCCCCAATTCAGTTTCGTTCACAATGAGAACCTTTCTTCTGACAGTTGTCCCCAATCCACATGGCATTTTCCAGCATTCACAGCAGGTCCCTGTCATCCAGTTGTCACAGCTACGACTCCTGGGAGGGCAGGTGGCTTTACCCCCCCGTACAGCCCAGCCAGGGCTGGCAACTTGCCGAAGGAAAGCACCCAGCCGAGGGCGCCCACCACGCTCCAGCTGTGTGACTTGTGTGGTTCCCTAACGGCCTTGTCTGCTTTTCTGATTCCATCCTCAGCACAGCCCTATGACGCTCGGTATGTCATCCCCCCCATTTTGCAGGGGTGCAAACCAAGGTTCAGAGAGGCTACGCCATGTGTCCAAGGTCCTATAGCTAGCAGGTGGCAGACCCAAGATTAGGACCCAAAGCCAGGCCAGCAACCTGGCACCGATATCCTTGACCACCGTGCAGTGACTTCCTCTCTGCTCTGCTCACCCAAATCTTTCTTGCTTCTTCCAGCCCCACCCAAGCCCCGCCGCCTCAGGGAGTCCTCCCAGCCCTTCCCAGGAAGCATTTACCCATCCCCAAGTCCTCTCACACCCATTATTTCAGGGATGAAGTAGGATGGACACGTTATAAACGTGGAGCTGATATGCAGAGAGGGGAAGTGCTTTGTCTAAAGCCATGCCAGGAGTCAATGGTGGAGCCAGGCCTAAACTGGGATATTTCCCTCTGTCTCCAGTAGACGGTGGGTCCCCAAAAGGCACAGATGGGGCACCGTGTGGGCACTTAGTAAATACCTGCTAAGCGGATGGATAAATGGGGAGGGGGGATGTGCCCAGGATGCACGGGCTGGTGCAAGCAATGCTCTCTATTGGCCATTTCCCATTGTCTCCCCCCGACCTAACGACAGCCGGGACATTAGGACCCACACATGTGGCACCCCTTTTAGTCCCACTGCAACCCTGAACTCAGTGTCTCACCGACTCTATGATGGGATTGCCTGGGTTCAAATCTCAGCTCTGCCGCCCCCTAGCAGTGACGGTGGGGAAGTTCCTTCCTCTCTGTCCTCATCTTTAAAATGGGGATCACTGTATCCACCTCAAAGGGTTGTCTGTTGTAACTGAGTTAATACAATGTATCTTCAGCAACGCCTGGCACTCAGAGCTCAGTGCTCACAAAAGTATCTGCAGCTCCATGTAACAGGGGAAACTGAGGCTCAGAAAGATGGGGTGGCCTGGCCGGAGTGAGGGCCAGTACAGAGGGCTGGCGCCCGGCCCTAAGCCTGGCCCCTGGAGTGGATGCAGAGCCACACTCACGTGGGGCAGGGCGAGCGAGCAGCGGCTGCTGCACTCGTAGGCCTCCTTGTGGCGTCCCAGCTCGTTGAGGGCGCGCGCCTTGCGGAACAGCGCCCGGATGTTCTCGGCGTCCAGGCTCAGCGCCTTCTCGCTGTCCTCCAGCGCCTTCTCGTACAGGCCCTGCCGGAGAGGAGCAGGTGCTCTGTCAGCCCTTACCCTCCCTCCCCCAAGCCTTTGCCGCTTCCCCTCGAAGACCAGCCTCCCTTCCCTGCAGAGACAGAGGATGCCGGAGGACCCGGCTCAGGGAGAGGCTCCAGAGCTCCAGGAAACAGCTCTGGTGTTCACACTCCGGTCAAGGGCATCCCTGTGTCCAGCTGCAGGGGCGGCCAATTGTCAGGACACCGGAGGGAGGGCCTTCATGCCGCAGTGATGAGCCCAGTCACTCCGACACGTCTATTCCGTGTCTGCCTTCAGTTCAGAACACCACGGACCGAGCCCTGGCTGGTGTGGGCTCAGCTGGCTGGGCATCATCCTGTGCACCAAAAGGTTGCTGGTTCGATCCCCGGTCAGGGCACACGCCCCGGTTGCAGGCTTGATCTCCAGTAGGGGGGGTGTAGGAGGCAGCCGATCAATATTCTGCTCTCACATCTATGTTTCTCTCTCTCTCTCTCTCTCTCTCTAAAGTCTTAAAAATAAAAAAAGAGAACACCATGGACTGAGAATAATAAAGGTGCCTTCAAGAGGAAGTGAACTCAGGAAGGCAGCCAGCGTACAGAGGGGTGTGAGCAGGCACCTGGCTGACCCGTTTATCCAGAACAGTCCACTGTGAGTTCCAGGTGTCACTGAGCCTCTACAGAGCCCACAGCACAGCCTCACAGGATCTGGCCAGTGCCTGAGTCAGCGAGCGAGCAGGGCAGGGCCGAGGGGGAGGCTGGAGCTCTGAGGAGGAGAGGAGACTGAAGTGTGGAGAAAGAAGTGAGGGTGTGATGGGAGGCAAGGAGCCCAGGAGGGAGGAGCAAGAGGCCAGAGGTTTGCAGAAAGAGGCAGGGCGATGAGAAGAGGGGTTCTCAGCTCTGATTGCCCACAGACTTCTGCCAATGCTCAGCCCCTTTCCCCGCCCCCTGCCCAGATTCTAACATAATCCATCTGGGGTTGGGCTTAGGCACCAGTACTATTTTATTTATTTCTTTTTTAAATATATATTTTATTGATTTCAGAGAGGAAGGGAGAGGGAGAGAGATAGAGATAGAAACATCAGTGATGAGAGAAAATCATTGATTGGCTGCCTCCTGCATGCCCCCTACTGGGGATCGAGCCCACAACCCCGGCATGTGCCCTTGACTGGTCACAAACCTGGGACTCTTCAGTCCGCAGGCCGACGCTCTATCCACTGAGCAAAACTAGCTAGAGCACCAGTACCATTTTAAAAATTGTTTCTTTATCTGAAACATTTTTATTTATTGATTGATTTTTGCTTGAGCCACCATTATCTCAACCAAACAATTGGTGCATAGCTTTGGCCCTTGCCAGAGCTCACGGTCCAGCAGCATTCTGGGTTCCTGGTTTACACTTTCCTGATAGCATAGACAATTAAGATTTTTACTGGATTTGTGTTACCCCCGTTCCCTATAATAGTACCTTACACCCTTGGGAATCAATAAGAAATCACCTTCTTGGTGCTTGGGTTAAAGGTAACACAACCTTTGATATTTTAGAATTACAACAGCATACTGTACAATTATCCCAGGCAAACTTACAAACTAATTCCTTAGATGCCTGGCAACAATTTTAAAAGGACATGAAAGAATTTAATCCCTTCCACTGGATCTCCTTACATTTGCCTCTCAGCATAACCACTATTGCCTGTCTCATTCTCGTTCTTATATGTTTATTTCTAGTCTGCAGATGCGGAATGAAGAGTCTTAAAAGGACTCGAACCCTTCAGGCGGCATTCACTTTGCAAGATTTATTAAGGAAACGAAAAGGGGGAGATGCTGGAAGCCACCCATTGTCTATGCTATCAGGAAAGTGTAAACAAGGAACCCAGAATGCTGATGGACATTGAGCTCTGGCAAGGGCCAAAGCTATGCACCGATTGTTTAGTCGAGACAATGGTGGCTCAAGCAATTTCCTGACCTAACAGTCTCAAAGTAAATCTTTACTAATACTTACTGACCTTTAAGATAGTCTGTCTGCTACTGGAATTGCCTGCCTGACTAAGGGCAATATGTGTATCTAAAATTGAATAAAAGGTTGGCAGGGCCTGGGCACCAGTGAAGCCCTCCCACTAGAGTTGGGCTCTCCGCCTGGCCCCCCGTTTCCAAATTCATATTTCTTGTCTAGTCTTGTCATTTGTGCGCGGCCCTTCTCCAGGTCCTGAACCCAAGCCATGCAGGACGTGGATATCACAACTCTCACAGATTTTAGAGAAATGGAGAGAAAGAGAGAGAGAGAGAGAGAGAGAGAGAGAGAGAGAGACATCAATTTGTTGTTCCACTTAGTCATGCACTCATTGGTTGATTCTTGTATGTGCCCTAATCAGGGATCGAATCTGCAACCTTGGTGTATCAGGACAATGCTCTAACCACTGAGCGCTCCAGCCAGGGCTGGCCAACAGTATCACTTAAGAATTGTTATTATGTATTAGGACTTTAAAAGCTCCAGGTGAGTGTGCTGTGCAGCCGGGCTGAGAGCCCAGGGGGTGACGGTGAGGGTCAGACAGGGAGGATGTACAGCCGGCCTTGCAGAGGCTCCCGCAGAATGGGCCTGGCTCACTGGGCGTCTGTTTACAGTGGCGATGGGGGGGGCGGGGAGGGAGGGCGCCGGGCTCACCATGGTGAAGTAGCAGGCGGCTCTGTTGACATGCAGCTTGCACAGCAGCTCCCGGGGCAGGTCCACCTGGTCAGAGGCGGCGTATTCGGCCACGTTCAGCCCCTCCATGTACTGCACCAGGGCCTGCTTGTGGTCCTTCTCCCGGAACAGGTCATTGCCCTCAGCAAACAGGTTCTGCACCAGCTTGAGCAGAAAGGCCTGCCGGGGGGAGGGCGCAGAGGGGCTCAGGGGCTTTCTCCATCCAGCCCCAGCCGGGCCCCTGACCCCCGGCCCTTCACCATCCCCAGCCGGGCCCCCGGCCCCCACACCCCTTCACCATCCCCAGCCCGGCACCTGACCCCCGGCCCGTGAGCCTCCAGGGATTATGAACTTGGACAGGCCTGGGCGTAAACGATCAGTCATTGTCCCAGGTCGACAAGGGAACGAGGGAAAAGCAAGTGGATTGTCTGGGGGTCTGGCGGCCCCCAG